ATAAGCAACATCATGATAAATGGAGAAAAGACTGCAGTTGTCAAGGATTTCATTTTACTTGGATCCACAATCAACACCCATGGAAGCAGCAGTCAAGAAATCAAAAGACGTGCTGCATTAGGCAAATCTGCTGCAAGAGACCTCTTTAAAGTGTTGAAAAGCAAAAATGTCACCTTGAAGACTAAGGTGCACCTGACCCAAGCCATGGTGTTTTCAATCGCCTCATATGCATGCGAAAGCTGGACAGTGAATAAGGAAGACTGAAGAAGAATTGATGTGGTGCTGGCAAAGAATACTGAATGAACACATCTATCTTGGAAGAAGTACAATCAGAATGCTCCTTAGAAGCAAGGATGCGGAGACTACATCTCACATACTTTGGACATGTTATCAGGAGGGATCAGTCCCTGGAGAAGGACATCATGCTTGGTAAAGTAGAGGACCAGCAAAAAAGAGAAAGACCCTCAACAAGATGGACTGACACAGTGGCTACAACAATAGGCTCAAGCATAACAACGATTGTGAGGATGGTGCAGGACCAGGCAGTGTTTTGTCCTGTTGTACACGGGGTCGCTATGAGTTGAAACCGACTCTACGGCACAAAACAAAAGCACTCTGTCTTGCACTGAGATTTTTAACCACTCTGTTAATCTTACACCTGGGTCAAAATGTGGCTGCACAATGGGCAGGGGATGCCCTGCTGGAGATGCTCTGGTTCAAGTCGTGTGGGGTCCTAACAATCATTTACACCTTAGGAGAGCTCAGGCTCGAGGTGGGGAGAGGGGAAGAGCCTGTGACCCAGAGCTACCAGGGTAGGAGGGACGAGTGAGGTACATGGGAAGAGTAGGGCAGTTGTGCCAACACATGAAGTACCATGTAGGCTCCATCCTGCTGCTGAGGGTGGCTGCTGCTCACGATTGGGCAATGGGCTTTTGGTGACTAGAACATTCAGTGTGCAACCTGAGGAACAGCTTTAGGACAGGCTCAGAGTCACATTGCCTCCCATCTGAGGGGAGCGTCCACAGCCTCTACCAGGTCCCCCGTCCGATGGCAGCAGCACTTCACCGACCTGCTGGCCTCCAACTCAGACCCATCCAATCCATCCTTCCAAGCAACAAAGCTGATGGAGCCACTCAGTTTCCCCACTGGCCTCAGGAAAAAGTCCAAATGCCTTAGCAACGCCTGGGCCCTGCATATTCTGGCCATGCCCTACCACCCCTACTACTGCCTTCTTTTGAGCTCTTTGCCACAGTCACACTCAACTTCTTTATGCAGCAAGTGTGCCATGTTGTCTCTTGTCACTGGGGCTGGAAGGCCCAAGAACATAGACCCAGGGGACCAGCCATGACGAGAAAACCAGGAGACAGCCTAGTCTGCCAGATGCCTCAGGGGAGAGGTCTCTGTTGATGGTGGAGCCACCTCCCCGCTGGACCCAAACTGTGCCCCTCCCTCAGGACTCCTGTGGTACCAGAACATGTAGAGATGCTCCAGCCGTTTACACTGCATGGTTTTCTGGGTTTTCAGCATGGCCTCCAGCTCCTTCTTCACAGCTGGAGGAGACTGGATCCTCTCACTGGCCATGAACTCACTGGGCAGCCAGACACATTTGCACCATGGAAAGGAGAGAAGGGACAGGGCAGGTGGGAGAGACAGGGAGAGACCAATGGAAAAACAGTCAGAGCCTCGGCACCCCCTTCCCTTACACAGGCCTCTTCCTGCCCTCCTGGGCCTCTGGGATACAGGAAAGAAGGAGAGGAGGGAAGAGGGAGGGAAAGAGAGGAAGGAGGGAGGGAGGGAGGGAAGAAGGGAGTAGGAGGAGGGAGGGCAGAGGGGGGAAGAAGACAGGAAGGGAGAGAAGAAGGGAAAGAGGAAGGGAGGGAGGGTGAAGAAGAAGGGAGGCCGCAGCCCCTAGTGAAATTCAGGGGCTAAGAGGGGCGACCTGCAGGCACAGATCTAGTAGAGGTCTGTTATGTGAATGCATCAAAGATAGCCTCCGTGTACTGGCCCCAAGTTGTTTACTTCTTCATAGCAAGCTGAGGCCAGTTAGCCCAAAACAGCCTGCAGACACCAAACTCTAATTTGTACACATCTAATTGTTTTTTTTTTTTTAAATAGCCCATATGAGCAGATTTTTAGCCACACAGAGCCTGCCTGCTTTACATATGTCACAAAACTGTGGCCAACTCCTGCTAGCACTAGGTAAGATAAAACTCTGTAGTTATAAGGATGCTAAGGTGCTGCTGGGAGCCCTGGTGGCACAGCGGTTAAGAGCTCGGCTGCTAACCAGAAAAGGTCGGCAGTTCAAATCCACCAGCTGATCTCTGGAAACTCTATGGGGCAGTTCTACTCTGTTCTACAGGGTCGCTATAAGCCGGAATCCACTCGACAGCAAAGGGTTTGGTTTTAGTTTCCACTTCTGGTGAGTTCCCTGCACTTCTCGCCTCTGGCGACCTCCTGCTGTGGAAGACCGCCCCCTACAGGTAGCTGCCAATGCTGCCTGCTGTTGTGAAACGCTAGCTCATGGTCATATCTTTTTCTTGATCAGCCCCAAATTCCCTGGAACTTACTACAGGGTCCTGACTGCCACTTGCCAGCTCTGTGACCTTGGGCAAGTCAGCAGCTCTCATCCTTTGCTTCCTCTTCTCTAAAGGAGCTAATGATGGTACTTTCCTCATACTGTACTTGTGAGGACTCAATAATGTAAGCAAAGCCCTGAGCACCATGCCTGGTGTATGGGAACTATCCAGGAAGTGTCAGCTACTGCAACCACTGCTGACCTTCATTGAAGTTTATAACAGCTTCCTAGTTTCAGGCCCAGAACCAGAACTTTCCATACAGTATCTTCTTGGATCACCTGAAACCCTACCACTGGGTCCATTATTATACCCATTTTGTGCAGAAAGAGACAAGCTCAAGTTCAAGTGGCTTGATCGAGGTCACAGGGAAAGTAATGGTGGAGCCACGCGTTGGTACACTTTCCTTCATCCACCACGTCAGACTCTGGTGAAAGTCTCATGCTCTCTATTGTCTACGTGTGAAGATGCACAGATTGGCCTTCTACTCCCTGCCCCCACCAGGACCTGCAGTGCAGAGGGATGCTTCTTTGATGTTCTTCAGACATCTGGGCCCAAAATGTCGTTTGCAAAAGAAAGCCTTGCTTGTCGGCTGGAAGCTCCAAGACTTGTGTGGGTATTATCTAAAGTGTCACTTTTGGGGAATGGCATGGAGATAAGTCCTCTCTTCACCTTCCTCCCATGGGTGAAACTTGCTACCCAAGGGTGGAATGTATCCAAAGCCCAGGGACGGATTACCCAGTAAGCCAAGGTACACACGGGCTCACTTGTGCTTACTTACTAATCTGTAGTGCACAATTTCATCTGTTTTTCTCTGATGTGGTGAAACCCATGTGAAACTGTGCACTACAGATTAGTAAGTAAACACAATTAAGTCCATGCATACCCTGTTTACTGTAAACCCATGCGTACCTTGCTTACTGGTTAATCCATCCCTGCCAAAGCCTGAAGGACATCCACTCTCTTTGACCCAGGGTTACGGGAAGTAGTAAAAAGTGGCAATCATGCAGATATTCAGAATGATGTTTTTAAACAATTTGTACCAAGCTCAGAAAAAGCATGTGAAATGATGCTAATGAGGAAAACAAGATATAAAAGTGCATGTACACTAAAAACAAACAAACAAACAAAAAAAAACCGTTGCTATTGAGTCGATTTCGACTCATAGTGACCCTACAGGACAGAGTAGAACTGCCCTATAGTGTTCCCAAGGTGCAGCTGGAGGATTTGAACTGCCTACCTTTTGGTTAGCATCTGAGCTCTTACCCACTGCACCAGGAGGGCTCCGCATATACACTAAGGGCCTAAAAAGCCTTTGAGAAAATACTATACAGTGCTTTTCACTGTGGGGAGGGATTAGTGGTAATTATTAATTTCTTCATACTTTATTCTATTTCTAGGTTTGTTTGTTTTTTTTTAAAAAGCACATATTACCTTTACCACTAGAAATACAGAGTTAACAATAAAAAGGGATAAAGAATGCATCCCCTAGCCTGTCCTGGGCCCCAGGTTAGCTGGGGGAAGAACACATCCCCCTCCTCCACTATCCAAGGGTGGGTGGCCTGTGGGCAGTGCGGGCAGCCACTGACCTGAAACTCTGCACCAAAGCCTCCTTCTTGAGAGCCTTCCAGGTGTCCACCAGGTCCTGCCAGCGGCGGTGGTTGCTGACCTCCTGCTGCAGGGTGGCCTCCATCAGGTTGAGGAACAGCTGGGCGATGGCCCTCCGGTTGCCCAGCAGGGCCTGGTTTATGATCTGTAGTCACAGGCAGGCAGAGGGCTCAAGATGCCGCAGGGCTCTCGTGAGTCAGACAAAGGCTCGGTTAGAGAGGGGTGGTGGGAGGCTGGAGAGCGGCCAGGTGAAGTGGCACCAGGTGAAGCGCAGCCTAAGGGCCTGAGGCTGAACTGGGTGGTGGCCAAAGGGGGGGTGATGGTCGAGTGTGGTGGTGACAGGGTCTGAGAGATGCTAAGGAGTATTGAGGGGTCAGTGGGTGCTCCAAGGAAGCTGCCTCGGACTAAGCAGCCACAGTGGAGAAAGGGGTGTTTCTGGAATGCTTATCCATGGATAGGATCGTTTCTAAGAGAAGGTGAAAGGCGTTAATCACTCCAGTGGGGCTAAGTATTTAACTGATTTTTATGTTTTTGTTTCAAAAGCAGAGTGCTCACATCATCAAGGACCAGCCACTTAAGGTTGTTACAAGCACCTTCTTTTTTCCCCAATGACCAAGTAAGGCCAGAGATGGAATATTCTTCAGCCATCCTCCTGGTGGTTCTCACCTGGGCACTCTTGGTGTGGGGTGGGGGATAGGAACACTTCTTCACTGTGTGGTGCTGTTCTTCTGTTTAGCATCCTTGCCCCCCTTAAGTAAGAGTAGTCACCCTAAACCCACACCAGTCACTAGAACAACCCAAAATACCTCCACACATTTCCCAAAGCCCTTGAGAGACGTGGCTCTGCCTGGGGACAAGATCAACTGGAAAGACTAGACAAACAGAGCAGCTGTGGTCACTTATGAGGGTGCAAACCACGCTGAGATCACAGTGGCCCTGAGACAACTCCGTAGTGCAGCACCTAACCCAGCGCACACAGTAGCTGAGACACAGCCCCTCGCAATGTATCATGATCATTTGCCAACACGCCTGGTTCACTGCTAGACCAGGAACTTAGTCTCCCTGTCTCCTGTGTGTCCAGCTTAATGCCCAGCACACAGTAGGCACTCGGTAGAATCATCAGTGTTCAAAACCACAACACTATGTTAGGTACACCTGGTTTAAGATGGCAGGGAGGTATGAGATGTACTTTAGAAAGATTTCTATAATGCTTAAAATAACAAAGGCACTGATTCTAAAACTTAAGAGGTCAACTTCAGTTACTCAGAAATGTTACATATGAGAAGCAGACCATTCCCGAGACACCAAGCTCTGGGGCATCATGGGGTCCTGCTCCTTCTCCCATGGGCTAGCCCCCTGTAGATGAACAGTCCTCACCATGGCTTCTTTATTTATCAGTCTGTATACATCAGGTTGCGTTAGGTAGGAAGTTTTCTCAATGATTTCCACATACTTCTTCAATACGTCTTTAAGCTAGAATGAATGACAAGACATCACAGTTAATGACTCCTTCTCTGAAGAACTCAAAGAAAACAGATGATGCTCAACACACCTAGCAAGTAAAAACCACCGAGGACTCCATCTGCACACCAACTCACTTTATCAGCTCTCGAGAACTCAAGCGAGTGCAGAGTTTCATCCAGCTCCTTAATCCACTGCTTCCGAAGCAGGCACTTCTCAGTCACCTTATCCCGAAGCTCCCACAGAGTCTAAACAGAGAGTGGATGGGAAGGAGGGAATGGAAGGAGCAGGACCTGGGTGGAGGAGGGTGCGGAGGCCCAGCCAAGGGGGGACCCCTACTTGGATGGTGTACTCCTGGAGGTTGGAGTCGTTTTCCACCTTTGTGAAGAGCTGATCAATGTCTTCATCACACTCAGCCAGCTTTCTCAAAAAAAGAGTTCCCGACTCCAAGATGAGAGGTTCCATTTCCTAAAACAGGCCAGGAGGACAATGGGGAAGTACCAGGCATGGTCTTGTCTTCAAGAATAGTAATCATTACCTAGTCCCAAGGAATGACATGTTCCTGATACTTTTTTTTTTTTTAGCTAAATAAATCTTTAATATTTCTAATTGCAAATGTACAGAAATTGCACAGCCACACAGAGTCTTAGAACACCAACAACTTTCTCTGTACATTATTACATAGGGAAGTCGTAACTGGAGGGAGGCACTCCAGCCAAAACCCCAGCATTTGCATTATGTTCCTGATACTTAACTCACAACCACAGTACAGATGGCAGCCACCATTTGGGGCACACACCATATGATGGACACTTTTCCCTGGGCTAAGCCCTCATCCTCCATCTCACTTGATTCCCATCACAGTCCTAAGACGTAGGTGCTGACATTGGGCCATGGCTGACACTCAACACATACTTATTAAAGAACTGGCTAAATTAAAGAATTCCAAGTTTACTTTAGACAAGGAAACTGAGGCTCAGTTAAGTTGTGTGACCAAAGCCACAGAATTTGTGGGTGATAGGAGAGCTGGTGTCTAGTTGGGACATCCATATGAAAGTAGTAAGCTGGCTGGGGAGCATGTTTTTGGTACTTTTGGTACAGAGCCAGCTTCAGGAATTTAGGTTTAGGTGACACAGGTAGGGAAGACTGGGGGAAAACGGGGAAAGTGATGTCTAGGGGTCAGAGAGGACCAGGAAGGGAAGGGGCTCAGAGGCAGGACAGCTAGTTTTCTTTAGGGAACATCCCAGAGACCAGCATGGCTCGGGATGAGGTCTCTAGAAAGGAACAGGAAGAGCCAAGTTTGGGGAGGTGCTAAGGGTCAGGAAGCATCAGGCCATCAATGGCAGGCCAAGTCCTTTGGCCACTCATCAGTAGGATTTAGCAGGGAGATCAAAGGCTGGGCTTTGGCATCAGACCTGAGGTCCAGTTCTGACTTGTCCCCTATGCACTGCCTGACCCCAGGCAAGACTCTGTTGACCTCACCTGCAAAATGGTGGTAACAGCCATATCTAACTGCCAGGACTGTTCCAAATATTAAGGGAAGCTAAGCTTAGCACTTAGCCTAACAGGCACAAAGCACTCACAGATGGCTACTATGATTCCATCCACGCCATGGTGTGCCACTGAAGACCTCCAAGCTGGGGTGGAAAGGAGGGTGTGTTTAAGGGGAACTCACCTTTGGAATGGCACAGGAATGGAAGAGGGAAGACTCACCATCCCAATCTGCTCGATCTCCTTATGAAAGTTCACCAAAGCACTCTCGTAGCTCTTCCTTTTGTAGTCTCCTCGCCCTTGAAGGGTGATGGTGCTTATCTTCTCAGGAACTAGGGGAGAAACAACAGAAATGATGAGGCTGCCCTCAGGACAACAAGGTGAACCAAGAGTTCCCAGGAAAAGACAGAACTGGCAGAGAGCACCTGTACACCAGGGTCTTTGTTCAGAAGACAGATTACAAAACCAGGCAAGCAGTAACAGAGGCTTAAGGGAAGAGCAAAAGGATGGAGATGATCCTGAAGTGCAACAGGGAACCAGGTCTCAGAGATACAGTGAAATACAGAAGAAAAGTTCCAGGATAGTATGTGTAGAATGGTACCGTTTATTTTTTAAGTTTTATAGATGAAAATACATGTAATATAATAATAACTAATACTCATATAGCAATACCACCTGTCTGGTACTGTTGTTCCTCGATTACTCATAGTGAGGCCAAGACACAGGTGCTATTATTATCCCCATTTTACAAGTGAGGAAACTTAGGCACACGGGTTGAAGAACACTGTGGGGGTGAAGAATTACTACACAAAGAATTTGGTCTTTGTCACTGGTTCCTGGAAGGTAACCCCTAAACCCTTGGAATTTTCCAAGTAATAGGAGTGTCTTTATTATTCATGATGGGTCCTTCAGACTACACCTGATAGTTTACTCAAGATAGGGGCTGGCCACACCAAAAAGACCAACCATGTGATAATCCACCTGACCTCTAGGGAGAGGAGGGAGGCTGAAGACTGAGGTCAACCAGGTGGGCAATGATTTCATTGATCATGCCTAAGTAATGCAACCCTAATAAAAACTGTAGATACTGAAGCGTGGGTGGGTTTCCTGGTTGGTGATAGACATCGATGTAGAGGAGGGTAACGCATCCCTTGGGGCATGGAAGATCCATGTTGAAGGCCCTCCTAGACCTCATCCTACGTGTCTTTTCTTTTGTATCCTTTTTGCTATAATAAAACTGTAACGGTAAGTATAACACTTTCTTGAATTCTATGAGTCATTATAGTAAATTATTGAACTTGAGCAGGCAGTGGGAAGCCCTGATTTTGTAGACAGCAAGTCAGAAGTGTGGGTGTCCTGGGGACCCCGAATATGCTCTAGTGTCTACAGGCTTGGGCAGACTTGGCAGTCTGGAGGACTGTGCCCTTTAGCATGTGAAAACCAAAAACCAAACTCGTTGCTGTTGAGTAGATTTCTACTCATAGTGACCCTATAGGACAGAGTAGAACTGCCCCATAGGGTTTCCAAGGAGTGCCTGGTGGGTTTGAACTGCCAAACTTTTGGTCAGCAGCTCTAGCTCTTAGCCACTACACCACCAGGGTTTCCTTAGCACGTGAAGTTTGGACCTAACTCTGGATGGTGGGGCCAAAACTTCATTTGCAGTTGGTGTCAGAGAAGACATGTACAGTTGGTGTTAAAGTCACACATCTTGTTGTTGTTAGGTGCCATAGAGTCAGTTCCAACACATAGCGACCCTACATACAACAGAATGAAACACTGCCTGGTCCTGTGCCATCCTCACAATCGTTGTTATGCTTGAGCCCACTGTAGCCACTGTGCCAATCCATCTTGTTGAGCGTCTTCCTCTTTTTTGCTGACCCTCTACTTTACCAAGCATGATGTCCTTCTCCAGGGACTGATCTTTCCTATACGTCCAAAGCATGTGAGATGAAATCTTGCCATCCTCGCTTCTACGGAGCATTCTGGCTGTACTTCTCCCAAGACAGATTTGTTTGTTTTTCTGGCAGTCCATGGTATATTCAATATTCTTCACCAATACCATAATTCAAAGGCATCAATTCTTCTTCAGTCTTCCTTATTCATTGTCCACCTTTCACCTGCATATCGAAAACACCATGGCTTGGGTCAGGCGCACCTTAGTCCTCAAAGTGACATCTTTGCTTTTTAACACTTGAAAGAGGTCTTTTGCAATAGATTTGCCCAATGCAATACATCATTTGATTTCTTGACTGACGCTTCCATGGTCATTGATTGTGGATCCAAGTAAAATGAAATCCTTGACAACTTCGATCTTTTCTCCGTTTATCATGATGTTGCTTATTGGTCCAATTGTGAGGATTTTTGTTTTCTTTATGTTGAGATGCAATCCATACGAAGGCTGTAGTCTTTGATTTTCATCAGTAAGTGCTTCAAGTCCTCTTCACTTTCAGCAAGCAAGGTTATGTCATCTGCATAACACAGGTTGTTAATGCATCTTCCTTCAATCCTGATGCCATGTTCTTCTTTATATAGTCCAACTTCTCAGATTATTTGCTCAGCATACAGATTGAATAAGTATGGTGAAAAGATACAACCCTGACGCATACTTTTCCTGGTTTTAAACCATGCAGTATCCCCTTGTTTTGTTCGAATGATTGTCTCTTGGTCTATGTATAGGTTCCGCATGAGCACAATTATTTTGGAATTCCCATTCTTCACAAGGTTTTCCTTAATTTATTACGATCCACATAGTAGAATGCCTTTGCATAGTCAATAAAACACAGCTAAACTTCTTTCTAGTATTCTCTACTTTCAGCGAAGATCCATCTGATATCAGCAATGATACCCTTGTTCCACGTCTGCTTCTGAATCTGTCTTGAATTTCTGGCAGTTCCCTATTGATATACTGCTGCAACTGTTTTTGAGTTATCTTCAGGCACCATCAAATGGGACAGTCTCTTTATATTAACAAATACATTTAAAAACCATCTCAATCCATACTATCTAATGAAGTTAACCAAGAAGTCTTTTGAATCACAAATCCCAAACCCAATCATTCAGGGGAAATGTAGCCATTCTCTTAAATTTAAGTAACCGGTTCAGATGAAACTTGGAAAGTGTCATGGACTGAATTGTGTCCCCCAAAAATGTGTGTGTTGACTCGGCTGGGTCATGATTCCCAGTGTTGTGTGATTGTGTACCATTTAGTAATCTGATGTGATTTCCTTGTGTTGTGGACTCTATCACTATAGTGTAATGGGATGGATTGGAGGCAGTTATATTTGATGAGGTAGACAAGATTGGATGGTGTCTTGAGCCAATCTCTTTTGAGATGTCGGGGAGAGAAGCAAGCAGGGACACACGGGAACCTCATACCACCAAGAAAGCAGTGCCAGGAGCAGAGCGTGTCCTTTGGACCTGAGGTTCCTGTGCAGAGAAGCTCCCAGACTAAGGGAAGTTTGATGACATGTAGCTTCTTCCAGAACTGACAGAGAAAGTGTTCCCCTGGAGCTGATGCCCTGAATTTGTACTTGTAGCCTACTGGACTGCGAGAGAATAAACTTCTCTTTGTTAAAGCCATCCACTTGTGGTATTTCTGTTATAGCAGCACTAGATGACAAAGACAGAAAGCTAAAAATCCTCTAAGTTTCATTTGAGGGGGTGGAGCAACTCTGCCCCAAACAATCAGACAAAAATGATCCCTATGTTCACAGCCATCTGATGTGCAAAGCAAGTCCGACCTGTGAAGGCAATCGAGAGCAAAGACCTGGGGAGTACTCTGGCCCTGCCTCCACCATCACAGCACCCCCTGGACCCACACAAGGGGTGGGGTCTAACAGGCAGGCAACAGTCAGGGCTTCTGCCCCTACTGAATGTATAAGGCAACTACACCTCCCTGACACCTGAAAGCCCAAGCCCCACTATGCGATGGAGCAGAAGGAACACAGTGGGCACTGCCGCTGCTTCCTCAGAAGGCTCCTGGTTGATGCGCCCCTGCAAGGCTCTTCTTGCCCCAGCCAGGCCTGCCCCCAGGGCAGGAACAGAGGCTCACCGATGGTGTCCCCAAGGCCCCGGACTTCCCGGGCAGCGATGGTGCTCTCACTCTCGTGGGATTTTTCCCTCTTGGCTGCTTTCTTTTCCCTGTAGCACAAGCAGAGGGGAACAGTTAATGCTTGTACCCCAGGGCTGCTCTCCCACACATGGAAGAGTGTTCAGAGTGCCCATGGGCAGCGGCAATAGCTGGACCCCACCCAACTCCAGAGAACACCAAGGCAGGGCCCAGTCTCCCAACCAGCACTGCTCGGTGTCTCCTGCGACCAGACACTGGGGTGCCTAGTTGAGAAAATGAGGTCCCTGCCATCAGGGAGCTTGCTTGGGCTCTGGCTGCAAACCAAGTGTGGGGGGCAGGCGGGAGTCATTTTTCACATGGGGAAACAGGATCAGAGGGGACGAGGACCAGCCTGATAAAGTGTTTGGCATGTGTCCTCATTTGCTCCTTCAGCAGTCCAGAATCTCAAGCTCCATGAGGGTGGGATCCCCACACCTAGTGCCTGGTCCTAGGCACTCAGTCAATAACTACTGGGGGGAAGAAGGAGAGAGGGACGGAGGGAGAAACAAAGAATCCTGCAAGAAAGGTGTTATTACCTCCCTCCTTCAGGGAAAGTACCTAAGCCTTCATTCCCACCTGGGACTCATCTTGTATGAGTTCTTTTTGACTTTTCGAAGATTCCGAAGGACACACATGTTGTGGGGGTGTGGCCAGGATGGCAGGACTTACTTATAGAGCACAGGGTTTTCCGTGACCCAGTCGTTGGGCAGGCTGTGCACCCATTTCTGCTGCCGAGGAGACAGCATCTCTCCTTCAGGCACCTCCACCTTCTTCATCAGGGGAGTCTTGCCGCTCTTTGGGCTCAGAGAATGCTCCACAGCCCGCTTCCTGCTGGCTGCCAGGGACCGGACCAGCTGCACCTGAATCCATGGGAGATGGGAATCAGTGCTATAGGCCCCCCTACACCCTCAGGCTGACTATGCTGGACTTCAAGGCTCACGTGGGAGCTGCAAAAGTAAGGCACCTCCAGCCCAGGCCTTCAGCCCCACTACATCAGCGCCATGGAGGAGGGCTCCAGACCCCCATGACAGTCATTCAGCCACTTCTGGGAAGGTATCTTTTAAGAAATTTAAATGAGGACCAAGATGTTCATCCCAGCCTTATTTATTTACTTTTTTATATTGTAGTGAAAATACACACACACAAAAAGCATACGCCATCTCAACAAATTCTACATGTATAATTCAGTGACACTGATTACATTCTTCAAGTTGTGCAACCATTCTTGCTATCCTTTTTCAAATTATTCCACCCCCATTAGCATAAACTCAAAGCCCCCTAAGCAATAACTCCGCCAGCCTTATTTTTATAATCACTAGGAATTGGAAAAAATGAAGCTGTCCGATAACACGGGACTGGTTGCATAAATGTGGTATGTCCAGTCAATGGAATGTTAGATAGTTATTTTAAAAAAAGAATTATGCAAAGAATTATATATGGCATGGGGAAATGCTTAGGTGGTGCTATGATGTAAAAGTATAAATTATAAACAAAATCATACAGTATAACCTCAAAATTTAAAATGCAAAGAAAAGTGACCAGAAGAAAATACCCAAAAGATTAAGTATAAGAATGGTATGTTTGCCTATAGGGAGCAGGATTGTGTAAGTAATGAGTGCGATTGTTTCTCTGACTTCTTTATACTTTGTTATAGTTTCCAAACCCTGTACAGAGAGCATTTTTAGGGCTGAAGTTAGGAACGAAAAACCCTTTTAAATAGGTAGTACAAAACTTCAAAGGTGGGATTCAGAGGTGTTTGTTCCGTTTAAGATCCTTGCTTTGTTTGCACAGTGCTCTGCAGATCACAAGGCAATTTCAGCAACCGAAATGGTCACCGAGCAACCATAATGTTACTTTAACACACTATGGAAGGTTCTAAGATGAACAACTAGGCAGCTGCTAGACATAGATGAACACACATTGCGTGGGATAAGGCCTGCGAGATACTGTTAAGGAGAAAAAGCAGGTTTTGAAACCCTAGGAAGAATCAGGAGACTCTGGGTAGCGCAAACATTTAACACGCAAAAGGTTGGAGGTTCGAGTGCACCCAGAGGCGCCTCAGAAGAAGGGCCTGGTGATCTACTTCGGAAAAATGCATAGTTCTACAATGACATACATAGGTTTGCCATGAGTTGGAATCAACTCCACAGCAACTGATTTAGTAAGAATCAAATTCACATTTTTTTAAAGAAAAATTAGAAATACTTTTATGGGTGGGAAAAAGACCCAGAGCACTATAGGCTAATTCTGGCTATCTCTAAGTAATTTAAATTTTAAGTTAAATGTTCTAATTGCCAAAAATCGGCATTAATTTTCTAGGCATACATTTTTAGAACCAGTAAGAATTCATTTTAAAACCAAAGCAATTTCAAAGCCCTTATTTCACTGGATTCCCAGTCAGGGAAGTTGGGGGCTCTGGGGGAAGGTGGCAGAAGGAAGAAGGTGAAGTGGAAGGAGAGGAAAGGGGGCAGCAGAAGGAAGTTGGGGGAGCTGAGGAAAGGGGGCTGAAAGAGGGAACCTACCTCGGCCTCGAAGATCTGCTGGTAGACTTTCCCATTCCGAACCTGCGTCACTCGCCCCACTGAAGGCATTTTGGCGGCCAGTCAGTCGCCCCTGCGAGGAAGCCATTGTCCATGAAACTTGTTTGAGGTTGGGAAACCAGCTCTGCCCCCTCCCCAAAAGCAAATCGCCGGGAGAGTTAGAAGCTGGCCTGGGAGGCAGTCCAGCCCGGGTAGGACCCACTACGGTCGGGGCCGCGGACCCCTCTGCTAAGGGGAGAAAGCTTCAGGGCTCCTTTCTCCCACCCCTAAGCGCAGGCTTAAAACAAACAAAAAAACAAAAGTCAAGAATGGAGGGGGAGAGGACGAAAATGAAATAAACCTTAGGCTAGAACAGAACTCGCGGAGTAGGCCGGCTCTCTTTACTGCGCAGCGCGCAAATCCCAGACAGGCTTTGGAAAAGGGATGAATAATAAAAAATGATTATTGTTTTGTGCTTCACTCTCCCAAGCTCTCCCGGGAAAAGTCAACGCGCTCAAGGGGTCAGCTGGGATTTGAACCCGGCCTAACCTCGACCTGACGCTGAACTCGGAGCCAAGACCCTCCCGGCACCCAGACGAGGGGAGAAGAGTGGAGAGGAGCGAGGGGCCGAATTTTGGTGACGCTAATTAGGCGCCGGCTGTATGCTGAAGGGACACAGCAACAAACTCTTCCTTTCTTCCCCCAGGTCCCACCGCAGCGAGCAGCTCAAGCAGCCCTGGGATGTCCTGAGGGCAACAGGGTCTGGGAGCCCGCCGGGAACACACCTTCCTGAAGAGCCCCGTAGGTCCACCATTCGCGGGTCGAGCCACAACCGCCAAAGGAAGCTTGTCTGTCATCTCCAAGACAACGCAGAGGGGCGGGTACCGCGCTAGCCCCGCCCTCTCCCAGCCTCCCAAGGGAAAGGAGTCTGCTCTTAGCAATGAGTGCGCCCCACGTGAGGTAGCCGACCTCTTAGCCAGCCCCCTCTCTCCAGGCCTGGTTTCCATAGAAAGAGATACACTAAAAAAACACTCTAGGTAAATCAAAATGGAATTTTAAAAATTGTTCAAGTAACCCACAGGCAGGCAGGAAAAAGAAAACAAAGAAGTGAACAGAGGGAACAAACAGAAAACAAATAAAAAAATAAAGTGGCAGTCTTAAACCATAAATATCAATAATTACATCAATAGTCTAAACACGTCAACTAAAAGACAGGAAGAGTAGATTAAAGAACACGCTGTCTTTAAGAGAGTTTAAATATAATGATATATATAGATTCGAAGAAAAGGATTCCTTTTACTATACAAACATTAATCAAAAGAAAGCAGGAGTGGCTGCACTATTATCAGATAAAATATACTTCAGAGTAAAGCAAATTATCAGGGACAGAGAGGGACATTACATAATGACAAAAGGCTCTATCCACCAAGAAGCCATAGAAACCCTAAATGCGTATGTACCAAACAACAAGCCTGCAAAATTCAGGAAGCAAGACGGATAGAACTGAAAGGACAAATAGACAAATATACAATTATAGTTGGACACTTCAACATCCTCCTCTCAACAACTGGTAGGGCAACAAGACAGAAAATCAGCAAGGATGTCGAAAAACTCAGCACCATCCACCAACAGGATCTAATCGACATTTATAGAACACTTCACCCACAACAGCAGAACACACATTCTTTTCAAGCATCCCCGAAACATTTACCAAGATAGATTATTTCCTGGGCCACAGAACAAACCTCAACAAATTTACGAGAATTGAAATAATACAGTGTGTTCTCTGACGACAGTGAAATCAGACTAGAAAGCAATAATAAAAAGGTAATTGGAAAATCTCCAAACATGAAGAAACTAAAGACAACACTTCTAAATACTACATGGGTCAAAGGGGAAGTCTCAAGGGAAATTTAAAAAGTACATTGAACTAAATGGAATTCCAGAGTTTGACCTTGAAGACTGAAAATTCCTAATTGCCAGTCAAAAGAAACCTTAAGTAATAGAAGCACAAAATGTTCTGTCTTCCTCCAAGGCTGTAGAAAGGCAGCCACCATTCTGAGTGAGGAAGTGTTCCTTGCAAAGGTATTTTAAAGACCCACACACTTCAGAGATTGTTGCTATGCCCTGGCTTAGAACACCCTGGTGCCATCAGGGATCTCCACTCAGTTGGGGGAGGGGGAGGAGCAGTTAGCTGTGTTCCTGGAGGTGCCATGGGACACCCCCACCCCCACCCCAACCCCCGACCCCTGCCACTTGAGAGTTCCCAGGAGGGTATGACTGAGCCAGAGATTATTTGACACCCCTAATCCAGTTCCAGGACCACCAAGGACCTCTTTAAACGACACCTCCTAGAAGGAAAGACTCTTCAGAGGCACTGATTAAACCTAAGGACTCTTGTTTACGAAGCAACTCTGGCTTCAAAACTCCCAGCCTCAGACTGGAGCTGTCAAAGGGTCATTCCATCTCCCTACCCCAGCTCCACCCCCACTGATGCCTGCATGGTTTGGGATCTCAGAGCTGGAACAGGCTTTCTAGAATCCAGACTATCTCACCCAAATCCCACAGTACTCAGTACAAGGCCGAGGCCCAGTGAAGGTTCCAAGGCCCCTTGAGCACCTAGCACCGGGTAAGTACTTCCTCTTCGCTATTTTCCACCTGTCTCCTCTGGCCTAGAACTTGCTCAAAATAAATGCAGGGTTCGAACTCATGCCTCTCCCTCAATCGTGTGGTTCTAGTTCCTTAACCTCTCTAGACCTCAGTCTTCCTTTCTGTAAGACAGGGGTCCCACCTACCCTGCTCAACTCACCAAAATGGTGGAGAAAGATCAGAGGGGGTTTAGAAAACAACTTCTAGGGATCATGGAAGTCATTATGAATTGTCTGGGGTAATGGCCGGTTAAGACTGATAAGCTCACAAAAAAGAAAATTCACTGAATATTTACAGTTCACGTTTATGGCAAGCACACATAATGCACTCTATGTGCTCATAGACATATACATGTAGATCCACCCCTTGTCATTGCTCCAGTGTCCACTCCTCGTGTCACCACTCCCATGGTTTCCATTTGAAGTATGCGTGTGTGTGTCCACCTGTGCGGATGTGGGGATGCTGAGAAAAAAATGGACCCACACGTGGGAGGGGTGGGCAGGGGTCACTCAAGATCTTAGGAGCTCTCATTCCCAAAGTAAACCCCATGGGAGGGGTTGATCCCTGGTCTGGGAGGCTGCCCCTTTGTGTGCTTTCAGGCCAGTCCCTGCCTCACTCTCGGCCTCGGTTTCCCAATTGTACAATGAGGGAGTGGTTCCAGAACTGCGTAAATGTGCTCTCAGGTAAGACACGATGCCAGGCTCCCTCCACACTGTAGGTGAAGCGCCGTGCTGGGCGCGCACAGGCACCTAATCTCCCTAAACAAGGCGGTCGTGAGTGAACAGTGACCGCGGTTGGGATCGCACCCTGAGTCCACGAACAGCGCGTGGACGTGACTCCGCCTTTCCACGCGCGCAAGCGCAATGCATCAACAGCGCGGCTTGAGCGGTTGGTCTCACACGATTCGTCCGCGCACAACCGCTGCCGTCTTTGTGCCCGCTATTGTAAACTGGGCTGTGGCACTGGAGAGTCTGGAGAAGTAGGGTACACAGAATATTTCTCCATCACCACCGCCTTGGTGCCCAGATGCCACTCGCAGGGGCCAGCTCTGTGGAGGGTCAGGGTCAGGAAGGATCCACCTGGCGGTGGATGGTGAGTCTGGGCAGGGGAGAAAATGAGGCCATCCCCTCTCCTCCCTGTCTATCCCTACTCTCCAAGCCCTATCCTCCCTGGTAGGACCCTGGGAGCCTGAGGTCCAGCCTGCCCCAGGCTGGCATGAGAGGGAGTGGAGGAGCCCAGTAAAGAGGCAGGCACAAACACCAAGCACCAAGGTATGTGTTGGGGTGTTACTGTTGTTAGGGAGCCCCTTCTGGGCTTTCAGTGATTTCCTCCCCCCCCCGCCCCCACCCCACAGCTCTGAGGAACAAGGACAGCCCCTGACAAGGGACTCAGAATCATTACTCTTAACCATGACTGACACCATGCTGGTCATCAGCGGCCTCGTCCTGGGTTGAGTGCCTACTGGGTCACATAGGCTTCTGAGATCCAAACACTTTAGGTGCTGTCTTAGTTATCTAGTGCTGCTACAACAGAAATACCACAAATGGATGGTTTTAATGAAGAGAAGTTTATTTCCTCACAGTCAAAGTAGGCTAAAAGTCCAATTTCAGGGTGTCAGCTCCAGGGGAAAGCTTTTCCTCTCTGTCAGCCTTCTCTTCAGTGTTCTCCCGGACTAGGAGCTTCTCTGCGCAGGGACCCCGGTCCAAAGGACGCGCTCTGCTCCTGGTACTGCTTTCTTGATGGTATGTGGTCCCCCTGTCTCACTGCTCACTTCTGTCTTTTGTATCTCAAGACATTGCCTCAGGACACAAGCCAGTCTTGTAGACTGGGTCCTGCCTTACTAACAAAACTGCCACCCATCCTCCCTCATTAACATCATAGAGGCAGGATTTACCACACATGGGAAAATCACACAATACCAGGAATCATGGCCCAGCCAAATTGATACACACATTTTTGGGGGGACATAATTCAATCCATGACAGGTGCCTTCATTTTCCCTGCTTTAATCCCCAACATACCCTTATGAGGATGAATTTCTGATCCCATCTGCATTCAAGGAAACAGCCTCCAAGAAGTTATAGCACGTGCTTGCCTGTCACAGGGCTATGACGTGGCCCAGCTGTGGGTTTGAACCTCGGTCAGTCAGACCCCACAGGCTGTGATTTGCACAAGAGCCTCAAGGAGGTGGCCTCTAAGCCCAGCCTTGAAGGCGAGTCCAGTGTGGTTGGTGGGCTACAGGGAAGAGCTCTGCAGGCAGGGGATCTCTGAGGTGGGCAAGGGCCTGGCATGGTCACAGGGAGAAGAAGTTTCTCTGAGCACATTGTCTACCTCCACCCAAGCATGAATCCCCAAGCATCAGCCAGGGATGAGAAGGCTTACTTCAGTGCCCTCTGTGCACAATGGGGGTGCTCTGACGGCCATCTGCCTCCTC